ACCTCACTACTTGTTACACGAATGAGACTCAACCAGATTACAACATTTGAAATGATTTTCAACCTTCCCTCCACCGATCAATTTGATCATGCATACGAGGTCCGTTTAGTGTGGCAGAAGAAGGTTATTGAGCTAGTAAACAAATCTGACACAGAGATATAATGGTAGGGGGTGTGCTAAAACAGTGAGCAACTAAGCATTATGAATCCACGAAACGCATTACCTTTAACAAATGATTAAATTTGCAGATTGGGTCACAGTAAGATTAATTTCATCGCAATATAGAATATTCGCAAAGAAATTCGGTTCCTATATCCTTAACACCGACATACCTTCAACAAGAAAGGCCTAAAACCCTTGGTTTCGCCGTGTAAACAAAAAGGACATGAACAGAGAGTATGGAAAAAGGGCAAACAGTGGAGACGAACCTATACAAGAAAGATAGCCACTCGAGGAGAAATCTGCGCGTTGTTTCCACACCGCGAGTATCGGACCCCCACAATTCCAAGCCGTAGTTTGTGAACTCGCGCAATATATCAAGCCGCTCAGATGCCGAGATATCCCACGTTCGAGCTTCGCGAATCTCGGTGAATATCCACGGCTTGATCAGGGCACCACTACAAGTACAATAAATGGAAATAGTTTAGAACAATAGGCACAGCACAGACGGAAAAGAATGATGAAAACCGAGGAGGATAAGGCTCCCAATACCTACCGTGCAATCATGATACCGGACACACCAGATGCCTCCTTGTGACGCACGTAATCTTCGTAAGTTAAAACGTCTCCGTTACCTGATAAAAATAATGAAAAGTTGATGACGAGTACTGCCCGCCTTACGCGCTCTTTAGCCGCTGAAAAGTGAAATTGTTGATTGTTTTTTACAGGTAATGGCAAATACATCAAAATAGCAGCTTTCTAAAGGACGTGGTATCCGGAGCACCTAAAAACAGTTTTGATCTTGGTGAAAATTCATATATATGTGAAGAATCGGAATGCAAGGATCAAAGTCACCGGTTCTTCCAGGTGGGAAATCGAAAACAAGTAGTGTCACAGCAGGCAAAATAACGACGCAATATTGTGCGTGACATCCGGTTGGGATCAAACATCTTGGTCCGTCATACGAGACAACTAAAGAGCTCAGGATGCACCGACTTAGGGTACATAGATCCATCACTCTCCCACGATTTGCACATGGGCACCTTTGATCAATCAAGAGAGGAACCTCGAGCGCTTAGTTCAACGAAAGCACCCTTTCTATCCAACAGACGGTAAGTAACAAAAAGGAAATCTCGAGTGACGTCACAAATGGACTTACAGCGGCGAACATAGACCGAATAGCCTCAGACTAACAAGTGTCATCGAGTCAGCATACTCCTTGAGAACGGTTTTGTTCTGGGACAGGCCAACAAATAAAGGATTACGCAACTCAGGTGATCGATTAAAATGCAGTCAGTCAAAGTGGTCAACAGCGATACATTCAGTCGAACAACGTGTACAGGCATTCCCTAATTCATGTCTTTCCCGTAAATGGGCGTACTTCGGTGCAATAAATGAAACGCTACATACTTCCAGTTGTGCTCTATTTCACTACCTGTGGGAATTCTTTATCAAGACAATCAGGGTGGTTATAAGTTGGTGGATTGCATCGTCTGGCACTATCACTGCGTAACCGAGAGATATGTATCGGTACATCGCAAGGTATGCCTCGCATGAAGGCTTTGTTTATGGGATGAACTGCAAAACGAAAATTCTTTGAATAAAATTTGAATACGAAAGAAAAAATAAGAATCAAACACGAGGGAAAAGGGCAAATTTACTGAATGCACATCTAACACAAAAATAAAACAGAAGTGTGAGTAGAGTGGTTGGAAAGTACAAACATGCAAGGACGATGAACGTACCAAACAACAGACCAGGTTGTGCGATTTCCACACACTGCTTCACATAATCCCAGTCGGCCAGGTGTGTGTAACGCTGCTCCCGACTTCGTCCGTGCACCTAATCCGGTATGCATAGAGAGAAAGAAACACTATTGAGTGGTTGCGCAAGCTCCGTTAGAAGAAAAGGAGCAGGAATTTAAAATATGTACTTACAGTGATCAGCGCAGCACCGGCACGCTGAACTCCAGGAATCAGATGATGTGCTATATTTTTGTGCTCCTTNTAGCCGAACGCATTTTCACTGTCACAACAGAGTGACGCAAAGCACGATCCATGCTGCGAACAATTGATTCCAAACGGTTAGCATGACCCAACAAACCTGAGCCTGCTCCCTGAAAAGGGAAAGACGAAGATAAGGATATAAATAAATATAAATAAACATCTGTGGGCCGTTCGACGACAAAAACGCTTTCCTAAAGCGATAATCTGATTCGCAACGTTTATAACGTGAAGAACTCTCATGCGATCCAGCCAGAAATGGCTCCAATCAAGCGGCA